TCCGTTGTGGGAAGAAATACGAGCTCTAGAAAAAAGCTCCAGATGAGTGTCCCAGCTGTGGCTCGTGGGGTGGCATAGGGAAGGGGAAAATAGAGGGAGGTGAGTCATGTTTCTTTCCTCCTACTTAACTATAAGGCAGGACTGTCTCAATTCATTTTGCTGCCCCAAGTGGGTAGAATGGGAGGACAGCCTCATGGTAACAGATATGGTTCCTTCCACCTCTGACTTATTTTTTTGGGAGGAGGGGGGTGTTTTCCTTGGCAGCTAAGGTAGAAAAGCACCTCCACCTATGCCATGTTTTCTGGACTCCAAGGGTCTGGAAAGCGGATCCATAGCCAATTACATGGTTGCCAACTCTGGGTTGGGAAATACCTGTAGATTTGAGGGGAAAAGCCTGGGGAGGGCAGGGTTTGGGGTGGGGAGGGACTTCAGCAGGGTATAATGCCATAGAGTCCACTGCCCAAAGCAGCCATTGTCTCCAGGAGAACTGATCTTGGTCATCTGGACATCAGTTGTAAGAGCTGAAGATCTCCAGGTGCCGCCTAGAGGTTGGCTTATGTTAATTTGGGGCTATGCAATGGCAGCTAAGGTAGAAAAGCACCTCCTCCTATGCCATGTTTTCTGGGTTCCAAGGGTCTGGAAAGTGGTTCCATAGCCAGTTACATGGTTGCCAACTCTAGGTTGGGAAATACCTGTAGATTTGAGGGGTAAAACCTGGGGAGGGCAGGGTTTGGGGTGCAGAGGGACTTCAGCGGGGTATAATGCCATAGAGTCCACTGCCTAAAGCAGCCATTGTCTCCAGGAGAACTGATCTTGGTCATCTGGAGATCAGTTGTAATAGCTGGAAACTTTTCTGTAGGGGAAATGATGTACTGTGGCTGGGAAACATGGTGATTTCTGGGAGATCTCCAGGCCCCACAGGGAGATTGGCAACTCCAGTGACAAATGGATTGGAAAAAATGCTTACTTTAAACTCCAAAACTGTTGTCTTATGTACTCTTATATACTATGTTTATTTTTATTTTTGGTATGTAGTGAAAACTGATAAATAAAACTTAGATATAAAAAAGGAAGATTGGCAACTCCAGTGACCGTTTAAGGGAAGATTGGGATATGTATTTTACCTCAGGACACATTCAGTGACTCCCAACAGCAACAGCAAACTGTTTAGAATGTTAGAGGCAAAGGCCAATCAGGCTGCATATGCAAATGTCCTCTGTGTTCTGACTGGCTATGGGAGGAGAGGAACAGCAAACTGTTTAGAATGTTGGAGGCAGGACTCAGGCAACTCAGCCAGTGGATAGGGACAGCTTCTGAGTGACACATCAGGGAGCCTACTGATTTGGGAGTGTGTGGAATGTTCAGCAACGTGCCACCACCAAAAGACAATTATTATATAGAGAGATAAGTCACCTGGAGACATGATTGCCCCAGTCATGTGGCCATTTGAAGTGCTCTTCTTGTGATTCTCAGCATTCAATTGGAATGAGAAACTGGTAATTTGCCTACAGCTTCAGAAAATTTGGGTCAGCCCTAAGCATCATTGAGATGATGGGCCAGTACAAAGATGCCAGGGTTGAGAGTGGCTCATGTGGCTTTTACATTCCGCAGCTCAGAAAGCACCACTTGGACAGCACTTGCTGGCTGGGCTTCAGAAATAGCTTCCACTCCCCCAGCAATTCAATCTACAGCAGAAGGGGCTTTTGACAGAAGCAGCAGAATATGTTTTTCTGTTTGTTTGCATGCTTTCCACATGTGCTTTTGGTTAACAGAATTGCAATAAAAGAGCCGGGACAGTAGGCACTGCTTGCACCAGTCATTTACTGTAATCAGTCTAATGTTTCAGGCATCAATAAAGTTAACTGGTTTGTATTTAATGTCAAAGTAATTATCTTCTAATTATATCAATTTGCCTGTCTTAAAACCCCCCCCAGAATTTCTAAAGCAATAAACCTTTCACTCTCCACATTCAAGTGGCATTTTAAAAAACAGTTACTGATGCAAGAAAACTAGTTACATAATCCTCTAGTATAAATATTTCAGGTATATAGCTGAATCATCTTTTGCCAAGGAAGGATTTTACAACCTGCACTAACCTTTCCTTTGGAACAAAGGGCTGTTTTTTTTTCATATTCTGGCAGCAGCAACCTCATACTCCCCACTGCTGTGGGTGCCATTTGTTCTAATTTTTAAAAACCATGTAGCATACAATTTGGCTGTGCAAAAGGTTTTGTAAAAAAATCTTGTAACTAACTAAAGAAACAAACAAACAGAGAACAATGTCACCCCACAGCAGCAGGGAGCATGATTTCTGCTGAAGTAATTGTGGAGAAATTTGCTCCCAGTATGTGTTCCCCAAACTGAATTTACATAGAATCATAGAGTTGGAAGGGGTCTCCAGGGTCATCTAGCCCAACCCCCTGCACAATGCAGGAAATTCACAAATAACCCCCCCCCACACACACCACTAACAGCCTGCTAACAGGGTGGCAAAGTTGAGGGGAGCATTTTGGTTCAGCCCTAAATGAAATATTTCCCCTCTAAAGTTTTTCTTTCTGTATTTTCCTATTCAAGAAATCTCTCATTTTCTATTTTTCGCCTCGTCGTGCAACTTCTTTCTATACTGATAAAATTTTCTCTTTGTATAGTTCAAAGCTATGTTAATGTTAAACTAGAAAAAATACTTGTTAGACATTGCAAGCTGATTCCAGATTTAACTACCCCTAACTGATCCAAGAAGGGCCTTTGTGTCCTTACACTACTTGACAACAGGTCATACTTCTGCACTGTGGATTTCCTACTTTCCTCTTCCTTAAAATTCTTGCTATGAGATTCTTTCCCTTTTGCTCCCTTCCAATTTGTATAAAGTCTTTCAACAATATACAATCTCCATTTGTGTATGGATTTCTAAATGCAACATTTTTATTTCAATGCAACATTTTAATTTCTAACGAAGAGTTTCCAGATGGTGGTCTGAGGCAAAATAGGAGAATGAATAGCTAATCCAACATGTCAAGATTTAGTGACTTGAAGAGATGATCCATTGTTCACAAAGCCACACATCATCACTTTGATTGCCATTTTAGAGGCCCTCCGAGTGACTTGATTGTCAAGTCACCGATCAACTGTGTGGAATGGCTGCCATTTATCACACATAGAGCTCTGTGTTCAAGGAGTCTTAATGAAAGCTAGCTTGTTAGATAATTAACTTCTCAGCTGGCTGCACAATGTGATTCCTTCCGTTTATGTCTGTTCCCTTTCACGTGAGGCTGATATAGTTGCTCCTGGACATGATGAAATTAAAGGTATGCAATTTTACTGTTCTCAAAGACCCCCTTGAAATATTTGTGGCTGTTCATGTGACACAGAAGAATAAACAAACCAGAGTACGTTTCATAGCATACTACATTTTAATCTACAATTAGGATCAAAGGTTAATATCATTAAAAGATATCAAATACATTCAGAGTAAAAAAGGGTGTTTTTACAAAGATAAAATACATTTATATTTTGGTTTCCCTTGCCCTTACTTCTTAAACCTGTCTTATGAAATTCTGGTTCAATTTGTACAAAGTCTTCCCAGCATTATTTCAACATGCAGCTATATAGAGAGGAAGATACAAAAATGCAGTATTTTTATTTGCAATTAAGAGCTTCCAAACCATCAGAATGTAATTATAACCAGCTATGCTATACACTATTCTGTGTGTCTCACTTCAGTAAACTGAAGAGTACCATCACTGCTCATGGGAACACTCCCAACTGTCCATTTTAAATTTTTCTGACACTGGCAGTCCACATACCCGCTGAATTGATACCTCTGGCTCCTTATAATTTATTGCTGTCCACTCAAGCTAGAGTTCTTTACTGTGTTTTGTTCTTGCTGCTATGAAGTTCACATCTGCAAGCTCCTGCTCCCTAAGGCACTCCAGGAAAGGGGTGGGGAAAAGCCTACCACTGAATGACAGGAAAGGTATGAAAACTTGTAAGAACATCTCCCAGATGGCAAGAAGGATGCCTTAAGGGGGAGAGCTTATGCTGATTGAGCCGCTTTACCATAACTGTACATAATTTGTTCAGGTGATAGTGTTACCTTTTTGTAGATCCTGGGGGCACCATCAACTTGTATCTCAGTCCAGCCAAGTGTAAGAAAGGCTGACAACCCTGATTTACCCTCTTTTGTCTCTTCACAATTAGATTTGCAATACTGAACAATTATGCCTCTTGATTTCTTTATTATGTCTGTTCTCATTCTTTGTAAAATCACTTTGAGAGAAACAATCAGCTGCAAGCTTTCCTGTCAGTCTGTTGGCTGACTGAGCCAACGGAAAGGTAAAAAGAATGCAAAATAAAATAATTAAGCATGTATTATATACTTGGAGGCCCTCTAAAAATGGGCGTGGGGAAATCTACAGAAACCTAAATACAGAAAGATAGAAGGATTCTTCTGTTCATTAGTGGTTGCAATCTTGATGTATGATTGTGATCTTCAGAAAGTAAGCACAGTGTTTTTAAATGCCCCAATCACCAACAGAGAAAGGCTGTGTGCTTATAAAAGGTGCACTGGAAGTCATCATCAATTTACAACCTTCTGTTTGGAGTTAGAAACATGCAGCCTCAAGCACTAAATAACATTGTGAATTACAGTAGACTTCAAATCAAGCAGGTATTCAGCATAACTTCATTAAAATTACTAATTGTTATGCAGGAAAACAAGCCAAACTACTAAAAAGGAAATATTACCAGGCTAGTTTCTAACACCTGAAAGCATGTTATTAATTCAAAAAGATTAAATGCAAACTTTTACACCTCCAACAAATACATATTTTGGACAACAACAAAAAAGGCACATACATTGTATGTGATAATTGTTTAAAACAAGCTGTTCCTACATTTTCACAGATTTTTTAAAAATGTCTGTTTAAATATCTCATTTCTACAAAGTGAATTTACATTTAAAGTACAAAGTGCAAATACTACAGTTGATCTTATTGCCTTTTGCTGAGAGTGTCTCCCGCAGGTCTGAGAGATTTGTTTCGTATATGGTTTAGCCTTGCTTCTTTGAGGTTTGCTGTCAAAAACAATTTGAAAAATAATATCACATGCACATTACTGTTATGTATTAATATTACAACAATAGGTATTCTGCTGTATTATCAACTTATGTAATAGTCAAAATAGACCCATCTGCAAGACATGTAGAGGAACAAAGCATTTTTCTTCAACCCTGACAGACAGTAAGGTTTGCACAAAAATCTAAAAGTTTGCACAAAATCAAGGGGTTATTTAATTCTCACCCCCCAAAAAAACCCCAGGATTTGCACTTAGAATTTATCCGCATTGTCGGAAAAAGTACACGGTACAGTCCTCCATGGATTGTATTAGTTGAGGATATGCATGGAACATTGCATAGTTGGATATCTTCATGTAAAAACCCTCCCTTTAGATAGAATTGTTGTCTAGGAAGTCAGAGATGGGGGGGGCAGTTTAAGTGTAATTGTCTCCCTGATGCACTAATTGACTGAATGCAGGGAGCTATTTCCATGAGTGAGTATTAAAAAATGACCTTCCACCTGCATCCTGAAAGTGTTATACTCCAGACCTCTATCACCATTGTCTACCACTTCAGTCTGCATAATGTGTAGACCAGATCCTGGGAAAATGGGAAACACTAGGTCATTTATTATCACCTCTCTTGGCCATTCCCCCCTGGAAATAGATTTGATTGTTCTCTTTTAGGTGGGTGGTTCCTTTTAAACTGCTCCTTGCAAGGCATATTCATTTCCAATGGCTTCCTTTCAAGCACGAGCCCTTGTGATGAAAGCCACCTTTGGCATCTGCGAGGAGTCTTTATAGCACTGCTAGAGCAGTTAACTGCCAACAGATGGTTTGTACAACTAGAGCCATTTCAAGGCTATCATTTCACAGCACCAGCTTTTAAAATAATTGAGACTGAGTCAGCAAAAAATATTTTAAAGAAATAAAAAAAGGTATAACAAAACCAGAAATGATAGGGCTCTTTATATACGTTACATGGTGTTATCAGATTACAGGAAAGCAATAGGAGGAAAGAAGGGCGAAAGGTATGCGATGCTTTGAGTGCTGTGGAAGGCACGTGGAACAGTAATAGCTATTATATAATTAAACTAACTGGAATGGTTTCGAATTCTACCAATGTAATTGTTTTCAGGCAGCCCTGTATAAAGTGCGAGTGATGTGCAGGGAGAAATCCAAGTTAAACTTACAAGTGTTTTCTGCAGCCATGGGGAAACAAGAATATTTGCTGAACTGTGAGCTACTATCAAGGAGCGCGCCGCTAACCCATACTAATTAACTGCAGGCCTTGGAAAATGTTTAAAATTTCAGTAAAGGAAAGCTGCTTTTATATGGTTATCTTGTTGCACAGTGTTGTATAGAGTTCTTTGAGATTTGTTCAGTGAGTCATGCACTGGACATGCAATAAACCATCGGAACTAAGGTCTAAGTAATTTTCTGCCTCAAGGTGACAGCAAAAAGCTACTTTGCAATGGAAGGACAGTCATCTGAATTCCTCTAGATGACTGGAGCTGGAAGAACCAGCTAACTTAGAAAGTAAGATAAAAGTGTGTGAATAGTCACACTAAAGGCAGCTATGTTCAACCTGAAGTGAATTGCTAATTTATAGGAATAAAAATAATATACCTTTCTCAGGGTTGGCCTCTGACTATTTCACATACACACATAGTTAGTATAGCACAGAACCTGCTTCCCCATTCAAAACCTGAAATTCTATGACCTCAGCTCCCCCCCTTATAAAAAAAATCAAGTTCCCAAGCCTTATTTTTAGCAGAAATTTTGAAAAACATTTGATTAACTCATGGAAACTTTTACCATCATGGCCAAGAGGACTGTTCACAACTGGGAAATACCAAACAAATGGAAATATTTTGTTCCTATCCTTACCTGTCTACTGGAAGGAGTACTTTCAGCATTGCTTTTTGGAGCTGGACCCAAAAAAAAAGATAGATGGCATATGTTATTTGACAGTAGAAATTATTTCGGTGTAGCACTGAATAACCACAGCCATTTTGTAATGATTTATTGTTTTGCAATAACAAAAATCCAACATACTACCAGTTCAATAGGCATGCACATCACATAGGAAAGTTCCACTCACTGAACCACCCTGTCCTGCATCTCTAGAGAGCTTACATTTAAGACTGAATTGAGAGAACAGCAAAGCTGTTTAAATCTGAGTTTAACCCCATCATATATAATGTTGGGTGGTGGTGGGGTTCCAGTTTTAAGGAGTATGCAAAAAATGGCATGGCACAATGATGATTAGACTGCTGGCCCAGGGACACGTGAGTCTGACTCCTGTCTTGCCACAAAGTTTACTGAACATTACTGTGAGGATAAAATGGAACATGGCAAGACCTACACACACTGCTCCTTGGAGGAAAGGCAGGCTAAACGTTTATTTGTTTGTTTTAAATACGTTGCCCTGTTTTTCTCACAGATTTGGGAATTAAAGCAGCTTACATATCAAATACACAAAAATGCAATTAAACCAAAATGCAACAATAAATAAAATGGGTTAGTTAGGGTACTGCACTTTTCTGCTGCTTTCAGACAGGAACTACACTACTTTCTAGAAAGAACTTCAGAACCTATAGTGGTCCTGTGTCATTTCATCATTGCAACCTGAACCTCATTACTGATGATAATGAGATGTTCCCTCTAAGTCTTGTGAGCAAAAATTCTACTTCGTGAGTTACTGGCATTAAAGATGTGAGCGAGTGATTTGGCTACTGCATAAATTAGTGTGCTCTGGAGTCATCCTTCCTGAGCTAAGACAAAAATGTGTGAGCCGGAGGCTAAAAAACTATGAGCTAGCTCACACTAACTCAGTTTAGAGGGAACACTCATTACAGAAAATGAAACAAATCCTGTCCCTTTTAACCCTGGGCTCATTTGCAGTGTACAGGTCCTAAACACAGTACCTTCAAAGCAAATTGATGCTAATGGAGCTTAGGTTGTAAGTCGAAGTGAAACTGGCAATCCTGTTGTTTTTAATCCAAATCCATTCCGGTCCATATACAGTTTATACCTGTTATAACTTTTATAATGTATTCATAAATATCAATGTCATAAGAGACTAATATAGGCTGAATACCACTGTGAAGTGTTATTTTTCCCCCACCAGAAACTTGCTCAAATGAGTTTGTCATTTTCTTTCCAAAATTTAGTTCTAAACCGTTTGGATGTCTAGTTTGCTGGTCTTGGTAACATCGCCCCCAAATCTGAGTTACAAATATCTTATTATGAACATCTAGATGAAAGAATACCACCATCCTCATTAAAACTCAATAAATAAGTGCATTAGTAAAAGAGCTAATTGGAAATTCTCTTACTATGGCGTTTCTTCGTGTCTGCTTTATTGTCTTCTTTTGTTACACCCAGGCAACCCATTAATTCTGCAACTGTCAAGGATTTATCATTATTCACATCACAGTATTCCACAAACTTTTTCACACATTTCTTGGGCTTGGATTTCTTCCTCAGAAACCTTTTAAATGGTTTGATTTCTTTTTTGCCGATGTCACCACTAGCATTTTTATCCAGTTGTTTAAAGTACCAGTGGACCACTCTCTCCTCCAGGGTGTGATTGGGATCTGGTTCTGAAAGCCTGCAAAAGATATTCATCATTAACCAAGCATAAAAACTGTTCTTTTTTGGCATTCTTTCTCTTGACTGGGCAATTGTTAATTTTAAGGTGATCATGCCATCTACATTAGGGACTTAGCAGGTGATCGATGAGGTGCTTTCTACCAGTCAGATCACAGGATCAAGCTATAAGTGAGATTTTGGTGAGGGGGATGATTGGGGTATTCAATATGTAACTAATATTTGTTTGTCCAACTGTTTCTAAATCAGCGTTAAAGCTAATGAGTTACCATATAGATGTCATAAAGCAATACAGCTGATTCTCATACTTGAAGCATGTTCAAATTAGAAGTGGAAACTTTCAGATTTGCTTGCATCTGAAATCGCATGCTACGAGCTTAGGGTACGGATTTGTCCATGGCCATGAAGGCTAAGGATGTTGTTGCTCTGGCACCTTCTGAAAATCAAATGGGACAAAGGGCTGCCCAGCCTGTGGGGAGGAGCTTGGTGATGGGGAAGGATATTAAGCAGCTTCCCACATTTCCTGTGCAGGCATTTGCTGTGAACTGTTGACCACCCACCCTGTCCCAGGGCCACAAGGGATTAACTGGTTGCTTTGGGGCTGAGTAGGAGTATTTTAGGTTCTCTATGATTGACCTTTAAAGGTCAATTTTTTCACCTGCTGCATGTTGCCTCAGGGTTGGTTTTTTTTTGTATAAATAGGCCTGTTCTTTAGACTGGTTAGACCCTATTTTAGCAGGAATAAGGCAGGTTGCTTACGATAGGTAGGGAGAATTGGTGGCCACCCTGAGGTATCATGCTATGATGGCCAGTTGTTCCTGAACCACCCATCAATCATTATATGGTGGGGTGGATGGAAAAGGAATACCCTACGTGCTGAGCGGCATCAACCAAATTCAGATCTTGTGCAGCACAAGACAGCCATTCAATAAACTAGTGAAGACCATTTCTGGTAGGTGTGGGGAGGTGCAAGGCACTATTCTGATTCTTCGTCTCCACCGCACAAATGTATTACTTTAATCATATAACTGAGCATGATCCAGCAAAAGTTGGGGGAGGGAGGTGAAGATTGGCAGCTCTTGGCACAGTTCATGGACAGGTGAGTATAAACAAAACTGGCAATAACAAAATGTCTGCATTTGGAGCCTGGGTGGTGTTCCCCAAGGGAAGGTAGCCATGAATGGTAGCCAAGTGCAGCCCACCCACTTAAAAGTAGAAAAAGATTATGACATTGTTCAGCCATTCAATAAACTAGTGAAGACCATTTCTGGTAGGTGTGGGGAGGTGCAAGGCACTATTCTGATTCTTCGTCTCCACCGCACAAATGTATTACTTTAATCATATAACTGAGCATGATCCAGCAAAAGTTGGACATTTCAAGTTTCTATAAGTTCAATGGAAATCAGTTGGACATGTTCCATTACTGCTAAAAGGAGACAAGTGCTGGTGGTGGGGAGAGTTTTAGTCAAGTCAAGTCAGCCTTTATTGGCATAAATTATCAGTACCATTTATACATTTAAGGTGGGGAGAGTTTTTGCCGCTTCCCTCCTCATTCTACAGACTTTTGCATCCACTACACCAAGCACTGTTTCTGAGGGTCCCTTGACAGCTGGGGGCAGCCAAGCAGGGGGGAGGAATAGGCTTGCAGCAGAAACAGGGAATCAGAGAGTGGGGAAAGTTCCATTCCTCTCACCGATTTCCACTTGCTGTCCTTTGGATTCAAGCTATTCCCTTTACAGCTTCCCTGATGTGATCAGGACAAGACAGTTACGGAAGAAAAGAAGTCTAGTTATTGACTTGAGTTATGGCAACGCTTGTCTGGAAATGATGATGTCTCTGGAATAGCTCTTGCTTCCCCCATGACAGAGGTAATGGTCACAGCATGGGTAAAGTGCTGCCAAATATTCTGTCTCTCAGCTCTTAAGATCACATTGCCTTAGAATAAAGGCAAGAGTGTTCCAGTTGGCACAACATCAGCAGCTTTCAGCTCTCTGAATTGCTGCATGTAATATATTTATGTAACTTTACTGTGAGAAACAGGGACTATTTTCCTTTCCAGGGGGATATTTAAAACTCTCCACTGCAGAGAATCAACTGAAATGCTTTATTGGCTGATTTTATTGCCATTGACTAACACCTTGTTGTCTCTTATTTCAACATGCTGGCCCTGATCCAGTAAAAGTTGGTCGTGAAGCAGTCCCATTGCTTTCAGTGAGATTTAGTCATGACTAACTTAGCTGGACTGAGGCCTTTGTTTGCCGCACTTTGCACAGGATGGTCCTAATGTTCTTTTAGTAGCCTTAAGAAACAGTAGCTAAGTAAAGGAATGTATATGGCTAACTGGATACTACAATTTGCTTCTAAAAGATTACATGGTAGATGCCATGATCCACATGAAACAACTGTCATCAGAGTATGTCCTAATGATATTGGCCCACAATGCAAGTTCTGTTATATGAGGGAGAAAACAATCTGCTGGGTTGAAAGCTAAACTTGAGACGCCTTCGAGAGGCAGGAAGACCTGTGCCAAAAGGCCATCCAAAAAGACAGGAGAGGAAAGGAGTGGAGGGACAGAATAAGCTGTGGGCCCCAATAAGAAAACTAAGAGAAGGATGACAGAAGAGGAACAGAGGGAAGAGTTGAGGAATGGGGATGGGAAACATCTCTTGGCATGTAGGCTTAGGAAGAGATATGCATTATTGGTAGAAAAGGAACAGGTACCCAAGATAATTTTGTACAGTGGGTCTGGTAACTAAGGAGTGGGTCGGGTAACTAAGGAGAAAATGAGGTCAAGGTGGAAGAGAAAAAGCTGAACTTCACGTTTTAATTTAATATTTTTGAATACAGACCTGCAATGTATACTGATACTTGTATACAGATTATACACATGCATACATACACTGCTGAATAAAATGACAACCGAGAGAATATTCTAGAATATCCCCCTCCCCCACTTAGTGGATACATAGCACTATGTTAGTTTCTTTATACAAAACTTTGCTTATGGTCAACAATTCATTTTCTGAAGGGGAAATTGCTGGGATGAAGCCTGTCCAAACAGATCGTGTCCTTTGAACATCTCTCTATATAATAATTCTGTTTTGGTCATGGGCGCTCCTGAACATTCCATATGCTCCCAAATCAGTTGGCTCCCTGATCTGTCACTCAGAAGCTGTCCCTATCCATTTGCTGCATTGCCTGAATCAGGTGTCATATAATAATTTTTAATGTTGAATTTTGTTATATATTGGAAGATGCATAATTAATGAGTTATACAATTTATTTGTATAAACTGAGGAATAGTATTGAACAATGAACTAATCATGGCATGAAATTTGAAATGAGAAGATACAACGGAATTTAATGTTTGGAGAAAGTTCTCACGAAACGAAGATTCTACTCTGGAGAATCTCATCAACATCTGGAATTGAACATCTAGGATTGGAATATTGTTGCATTTTGTATATTTGTACTACTGTATTAACTTAAAGTACACTGTTGTTAGAATATAAGCGCATTTGCATGATTGCAGCTTTTTGTTATTTATTGGTGACCATAAGAGCTGCACCCCCCTCTGTATGTTGATTCTGCCTTATAGCTAAGCAGAAGGAAATAAATATGGCTTGCCTCCCTCTATTTTTCCCTTTCCTCCGCCACCCCACCAGCCACAGCTGGGACACTCCTTCTAGAGCTC